GGTTCCAGCAATGATAATGATCTCACTCAGTCAGATTGCCAAACCAGTGTAACAACAAGATTACATTTGTTTAGCGCCTTTCACATCGGGAGAACGTCCCAAGTGCTGGACAGTGTACAGCATGTCAGACCCGAGCTGGGGTCAGGGGGAAGAAGCGAGGGGAAGGGGGGTGACCAATGGCATGGTCGAAGAGGAAGGTTTTGAGGCGGGACATGAAGGAGGCTAAGGAGGGGGCGAGGCGGAGTGATTGGTGGATGGAGTTCCAGAGGTTGGGGGCAAAGTGGCTGAAGGCTCTCCCGCCAAAGGTGGGGCGGGTGGGTCGGGGGACGTAGAGCAGCCCGGAGTCGGCTGAGCGGAGGGAGTGCGCGGGTTGGTAGGGGGTTAGGAGGTCACACAGATAGGGTGGGGCGAGACCATTTGTAGGTGAGGACCAGGATTTTGAACTGGATCCTCTGAAGGATAGGGAGCCAATGGAGTCGTGCGAGAATGGGGGAGATGGAGTCACGGAGTTTGATGCAGGAGAAGACATGGGCTGCAGAGTTCTGGATTACCTGCAGCCTGTGGAGGGAGGAACCGGGAAGACCGACAAGCAAGATGTTTGCATAGTCGAGCCTGGAGATGATGAAGGCATGAACAAGAGTTTCAGCGGCCTGAGGGGTGAGGTAATGTTGGAGTTGGGCGATGTTACAGAGGTGAGGGAAGGCAGAGCTGGTCATGGCTTGGATGTGGGGAAGAAAAATAAAGCTTCTCACTTTACTTTCTCTGCTTTCAAATGCAGATTAAAATGATCATCACAGCCATTTAGAATTAAAATACTGATTTCATAACCGCTATGAAAGTTCATTATTTAATGTGTAGATGTCAAAAATCATGATCTACTTTTCTGGAGTAACTAACAAATTTCTGACAATTTTGATATCAGACATCAATTTTAGACAATGATTAGTATCATTGCAATGGTAAAGAGTAAAGAGTGAGTCAAAATGAAACACAAGCAGTCAATTCAGGGGTTGGAGGACGATACAGAGGTCAAATGGGGGGAAGGGAAGCAATGCGGAGGAGGATGGCACAGACTAGTAAGGAACAGCTGTCTAGCTGGAGCATTTCTCAGTTATTTAATTTAAAGCTTAGACTGCAGTCACCGGAGTTTTAATTCCACGTGAAGGTTACTGAAGTTGCATTGGGAGCAGCAGTTGTTGACTTGATGTCAAGATATGGACAGTAATTTCATATATTTGCATACATTGAAGTTGTATAGAAAATAGATGGCGTGTTCTTGGTTTACAGTCGGACAATGTAAAGTGGCAGGCGAGTGTTGCCTGTGTGAGGCTTTGAGGCTTTAGCAGCTGTGCTCATATGGAATCACACAGAGAATGACAGAAACACATAGTGAGGTGATGCGTTGTTTTATTTTTCTAACTTTTTTTTCCTTGCCCAACTTTCCTTCTGTCAAATATCTTTCTGTCTGAAATGTTAAGCTGGAAGACCTTTCCAAGGCCTCTACCAAGGTCACCTTAAAGATCCCACAACACTATTCAAAAAGAGGAGTTTCTCTTGGTGTCTATGGCCAACGTTCCTCCAGATAAATTGATCATTCACTTCATGATTGTTTGTAGGACTTTAGGCTGCTGGTATACATATACAGAGTCACTACACTTGACAGCAATTACCTGTGAACACTGAAATTTGTTGACAATATCAAATACAAGGAATAATATTTTTAGTTAATCAATAGGAGGAATCTAAACTGACCTTATAAAATGATCCTCTATTTTCTCCATTCTTTGGGGGAAATGTAGTTGACCACCAGTACCCATTCCAAAAGCATCATTGTTGCAACTGAATTGAGCACAGTGCAATGAGCAACTGTGGGCCCAATTCCATGCTTCAACATCACCCTTAAAATCCAGAACAAAATAATTGATAGCAATTTGTAGAAACCTTCACCACTCTGCTTCAAAGAGAATTTCTGCCAGCAACTGAAATTAAGTTGAATGTTGTGCTTTGCATTTGGCCAAAGAAGTACTGTGAGGCAGGGGTAGTTTATAACAAATCAGCACTGTTCGTAAACTTGCAATGGATTGATGGCGCGCCTATCATGTGCATCAAGTTAGAAGAAAATAAAGCGAGCTGAGAAATGAACAAAGCACAAAGTAGATATACTGCAGGAGTAAAAGAGTTGGATACAAATGAAACAGTGAGTGAGACAAGTTGAATATAAAACTATTCAAGGATTAGATGAGAGAAAAGAGGTATCATTGAATATGAAGCAAACAAGACGATGTCAACAGATGAATGTTATGACAAAAGTGATAAAATTCAGGACAAAAAAAATGGGAGAGAGAAGGTACATGTGATGTCTCCTAAAGCAGTATATGAAGTCAGAGAAACTAGTAAAACATAAAACAATTGCTTAATCCAAGTGTAGATGGGTTGTCAGATTGAAGATTAGCCTAGTTTGCTCCATCCTTTTCTGATGTACCATTGAAAAATCCTATTGAGAAACACAGATAGCTTGATAATCCTGCAAAAGGAATTAGGATAAAAAGAAACCACACAAGAGAGAGATGCACTTGTAAGACTTTGGCTGTGGGGTCGTGAGGCTATGAAAGGCTCTTAGTACTGTAACACAAATCAAACATTGGTCCTCTCTCTCTCTCTCTCTCTCTGCAGTTGGTGATGAAGAAAATGATGTACTAAGTGATGTAGTTTAGTCGGAAAGCCTTCCTTGCTGTAGAGACATCAGAGTTACGAAACAAATTCATGCTTTTGAGCTGCTGTAAGAGTTTAAGAGCCTGATCCATTGCAATGAGCACTTCATGTATTTTGCAACATGAAGAGGTGTGAGAAACAAATTATGAGACTCAACAGATTTAGAATGTGTTGAAATACTTGCTCTAAAATTATAGATGTAGTGTACTGAGAAATCGTGTGCTAGATGAAATCCCTTCACTTTGTTCTTTCTCTCTGCCTTCAAAACCCTCTTAAAAACCTTAACCATGCATTTGGTCAAAATCTGTAAATTCTCCTTTCACACTTCCCTGATCCTTATTATCTGTATGAAGTGTTTCAAGACATGAAAGATGGTGTATAGCGTACGTGTAAGTTGTTGTTCTTATTAATTGGAACAGGAAGAAAAAATTGCACAGAAATATCTGTGGATGTGTCATTCTCGCAGTGACCAGAGCCATCATTAGCATTGTAAAGATGAGAAAAAACAGCAGTGAGAGGGTTAAACAAATATTCCTCCACCAAGCCAACAAACCGAGTCCCTTAGAAACTCTACTAACCAGTTAGTTACAACTGTTCTCAAAGGAAAGAGCATAACGTTCAGTCAAGTGAATAATTATGTGAGTAGATGAATCTGCAACAGATTCACTGTAAAAATGTTTCAAGTGCAATCAGGCCATTGCTACAGGGAATAAAGTCATAATAGGAAAAATTTGACAATCAAGGCCACTAAACTGGAATCTCTCAAATAACTAAACAACATGAATAACATTTTTTTAATGTTACATGGAAGAACTTCTGTGTAACATAGAATGAATGGCCACTTTAGGCTACCAATGAATGTCAGGCATGTTACAGTTAAAAGAGAACACTAGAGACAATCATCAACCACCTTTACTGGGCTTCTGGACACAATGTGGAAGTTTGAGGAAGGAGGAAGTTTGCGGTTAACACAAAATAATCGCCACAGGAGGTGTTTATGAACCTGATACAGTATTTTGTCTAAAGAGTCTTAAACATAACTTAATAAATTTATTGTTAAATGATCTTGCGTTTGATGCTTGAAATTGTCATGTGTGTATCTGACACATGCGGAAACCCAACACCATTTTTAAGAGTATTCAGAATCACAATGACAGTGCCACATACTTATGGAAACTTCTGTGTGCTTAAAAACATGCACAGACAAATAAACTTGAATTTGACTAGATGTATGGGTCACAAAAACGTATAAATCGAGCATCCCATTTTTAATGAATGTATTAAACGAGAGAAAAAAAATGTGGTTTTAGCTGGTTGGACTTCAGCAGTACCCGAATGCACACTCAGGGGTCCCCACGCCTTGGCTCTCGCCAACCTACACCTAATAATTTCCAGAATTAGGTAAGCAGGATACATCCCTCCAGGGAGAGAGTGTGCGCCTTCCATTACAACAATCTGTCTCTGGGATCTCCACGTGTAGGTGGGAAGCATGCAATGCTCAGCTTGGTTTGGATACTCTTAAGCAGGGTTTCCGCATGTGTCAGACACCTGACTGACCAAAAGAAAAGGATGGAACAAATTGCCAGGAGGATGGTTGAGATCAGGACTCATTTCATTTCAAAAGCAGCTGGATGCTGTGGGGCTAAAGGGCCTTTTCCATCGCAAAATCGATCTTGTCGATCCCGTGAGCACCCAAAAAGCTTTTTGGTTTTTTCTTTTTGTTAATTTTGGCCCGTCGGGTGTGCGGAAACCCATCACCGTGCTTTTAAGAGTAATCCAAAACGAGCTGAGATTTCCAATGGCATTCCCGGCTCCACGTGGAAATCCCAGAGATAAGATGGTTGGAGCTCTCTCTCTCTCTCTCACTCTGGGGGGGTGGGGGTGGGGGGGGACGCCTTCCTGCTGACCTAATTCCGAAAAGTATTAGGTGGGTGCAGATTGGCCAAAAGCCAAGGCTTGGGGGTGGGTGGGGGGAGAGCCCAGAGTGTGTATTGGGGGTAACTCCTACTGGAGTCCTGACCAGCTGTGAACCCCAACAGCAGGTGTAAGTGGGTGCCACGAGAGGGAACTACGACTCCCAGAGTGCACGGCGGGGCGGGGGGGGGAGGGCGGTGGAACGACGACTCCCAGAGTGCACGGCGCGGCGGGGGACGGGGGGGGGGGAGGGCAGTCAAGGCGGTGCAGTCGCCCTGCGGGGGGGGGGGGGGAGAGGGGAGAAACTACAACTCCCAGAGTGCACGGCGCGGCGGGGGCAGGTAGTGCGCAGGCGCCAGGCCGGGCAAGGGGGCGGAGGAGGAGGAGGAGGGGGTGGGGCAAGATGTCGGCGCCTGTCGCTATGCCGGTGCCGGTGAAGAAGCGCAAGCTGGAGGCGCGGAGCAGCCAGGACAGCGCCTACTATCACTGCTACTCGGATGTGTCCATCCACGAGGAGATGATCGCGGACGAGGTGCGCACCGGCTCCTACCGCCTGGCGCTGCTCCGGAACGGCCCGTCCATCCGCGGGAAGGTGGTGCTGGACGTGGGCGCCGGCACCGGCATCCTCAGCGTCTTCTGCGCTCAGGCCGGCGCGGCCCGCGTGTACGCGGTGGAGGCGAGCGAGGTGGCCGAGGAGGCGACCCGGATCGCGGGGCTGAACGGGCTGAGCGAGCGGATCCGGGTGATCCGGGGCCCGGTGGAGGAGGTGGACATCCCGGAGCCGGTGGACGCCATCGTGAGCGAGTGGATGGGCTACGCGCTGATGTACGAGTCGATGCTGCGCTCGGTGCTCAGAGCCCGCGACAAGTGGCTGAAGCCGGGAGGCCTGATCCTGCCCTCGGTGGCCGAGCTGTACATCGCCCCGGTCACCGACCCGGTGCTGGCCGAGCGCCTGGGCTTCTGGCACCGGGTGAAGGAGCGCTACGGCGTGGACATGTCGTGCATGGCCTCCTTCGCCAGGCGCTGCCTCATGAACCAGGAGATCGGGGTGATCGCCGTGAGCGGGGAGGACGTGTTGGCTCACCCGGTGCGCTTCGCCCGGCTGGACCTCCGCACCGCCACCGAGCAGCAGCTGGGCGAGATCGGCGGGGCTTTCTCCGCCCGCTCGTTCGGCATGTCCACCATGCACGCCTTCGCCGTGTGGTTCACCGTCACCTTCCCGGCCGACAACCCGGTGGTGCTGTCCACCTCGCCCTTCAAGGAGGAGACGCACTGGAAGCAGTCGGTGCTGTACCTGGACGAGCCGGCCGATGTGGTCCAGGACACCGGCATCACCGGCGAGATCACCCTGACCCCGTCCGAGGAGAATCCCCGGCACCTCCGGGTCTCGCTGACTTACGAAATCGGTGACCTGGGGAAGAAATCCAAGAAGTTCAGGATGGGGGAGGACTTTCCTGCTTTCCAGTGACTTGACTTTGGAGCCCTGGCCCCGAGCTTGGCTTTGGGTTCATTTCGGGGGGCACTCACTCAAACGTGTTCGTAAACATCTGATTCGATTCTTACAAAAAGACCAAAATTTGCAGCATTGTCAAGAAACACTTGGGATACCGAGGATTCCTGGAGCAGGAGATGGGACTTGTTTTAGTCCTGTGACAATATCCACGTGATTTGAGGCACTAAAGTGTGTGTCCCCCCCCCCCCCCCCCCCTCCCACACCCACCCTCCCTGCTTGTTTGTTTCATTTCTTGCAGCTAAAGTACTTCAGGGAAGTGCAACAAACATGCCTTAAGTTTCTTCCATGTTGAGTCTTGATGCCTTTGTGGAAAAACATCTGTTGAATTGCAGTTTTATATAGGGGGCAGATACAAGCTGAATCAGCTTATTTAACCTCAGCATTGTTACACTTACTGTTAGTCGTTCGCATTTTATAAAAGATTCTGAGCCTGTTCTTAGCAACCTGGCTTCCCTGAGATCCTGTCAAATACAATGTATTCCCCCAGCAAGCTCCGAGTTTAGACACCTACAACCATGTATAGGAGCTGCTATGTACTGCAGATGGTGATGGGTTTCTGCATGTGTCAGACACTGACTGACCAAAAGAAATGTACTGTAGATTTCAACTGAAGATGTGACTATGTGGAAGTTGCTGGCATTAGCCTAAATAGGCTGTAAAGTCTAACAGACAATTAGAAGTAATATGTACTGTATTACATACAGAATTACCTTGAAATGGTGTTGCCTGAAGCTGTCCTTCTGTTACTTGAATTTGCTTTGGGTTCTCTTATAGCTCAGAGTACTACAGAGTTGCTCCTAATGGATGCCAGTAATTTAAAATAAATCCATACAAGCATTTCAATCTTTCCCCATGTTTTATTGTTGCCAATGATCTGAGTCAAAGTGAATCCAAATCCTCACTCATAATCTGAATCTTATTTTCAATAGAATGTTGTGAAATTTCAGGTTCATTGCATAACCTCCATCTGGAAGACTGTTTGTCCTCTATTCTACAGCAACCAGAATAATGAACTGTTGTGAGCTGATTTTGAAATATCCATAGGTGAATACACGGATATAACCAGTTGATTTAAGTCTAGCGACTGCCAGTGTACAAACAGCATTCATCATTACAACTTTGCCTTGATTGCTAATGCTATGGATCAAAAAGTTGTGGGTTGGAGACCAATACTAGAATTTAAAATCATAATGTTCTCGGCTGACCCTAAAATAGTGCTGGTTGTCAGAGGTTCTGTCCTTAGAGTGAGACATTAAACTGAAGTCATTTCTGATGGTTCAGAAGGATGTTAAAGAGTAAATAGACAAAATTAAAACGACTTAAAAATGCAAGTGTTATAATAATGCATTGAACTCACATTTGTAAACTAAAAAGTTATTGTATTTTTAGAGGTGAACAGCCAAGAGGAAACAGGCCATAGTTGAAACTATACTGGACAGTGAGTGAAATGGAGAACAGGTTTACTGTACTAAGAATAGTTGTAGCAGAATGAGAATGTGATGGGTTCTGTAAGTATCACCATCTGACCAAATCTCTGCAATATCTAACAAAAGCCTTCGTATTAAGGTGCACGCACAGTAATCGTTTTAAGAACATCTGTTGTTTTCAAATTACTGGGCACGGTAGTGAAAAATTGCAAATGCATTGCCTTAAGGTAGAAACTAATTCAGCAGGTAGAGGTGAAGGAATTTAAATCAGAAGTAAGGTGAACGTGCATAATTAGAAAGAAAACAGGTATTTCACACCTTATGCTTATTCAGTGTCCACTGTATAGAGTATTCAGGTGTGAATTCAAATGCCAGAAATACCACAGGGTGACCAAAAATTCATGATATCATTACCATGTCTAATAAGTCTTAAAGAAATTATAATATTTTTGTTATTTTTAGATAATAAGGTAAATAACACAACTTTTTGGTCACCCTGTATGTTTGAAGTGTCAGAAAAATAGACAGCTGCTCAATGTTGGAAACTTAGTCTATTTCACTCTCAGATATGTTTCTCCATTGAATCTCGATGACTTCGCTAGTTCCACCGTTCATAATCTTTAATACACCAAGCATTCTTGCCTCTTCAATTGCACAATGTCCCACACTCTCAGCAAATCTTCACTGTGCCTCTCACACGTTGTGGAATGATTTTCAGATTCTTGTCTTGATTTTCAAATTCCTCCCATCGCCCTATTTAACCCTATCCATATAGTCTTCGAAGCACCAGCCTGCTGTTTCCACAATACTGGAATTCTTTTCCAAATCCTTTTCCTTCTCTGCTATAGTGTAGCCATATTTGTTCATTGGCTTTATCACAATTTCTGTTGATAACATTTTCTCCACCAACAAATAAAGAGAAAGGTCAGCATCCAAAAAACACCACACATTTCAGCCTCATTGAGTGCCTGTCTGCTGATATGAGTCAGACTCTTGAGAAAGTTCATCAACAAATCTGAACTACTGAAAGCTCCTGTGAAAAGTTATGTGAATTCCCAAACGTCAATAGTTATTTACCAGTACGTTGTACGCAGATGTGATCTAGGTGCTTGGAACTGCTGTGATGTAAAGGTGACTTGGTATGATTTCAACAGTCATAAGATTTAATTGTACTGCAAAGTGCAGTGACTATTTTGAAGGCAAATGTTGCAGAAAGTTCAAGGGCAATAGTAAAAGTTTGTACATTTACAGAGATATGTGCAGAGGGACTGGTCACAGCGTGATGCTGAGAGGAAATTACAAAAGATTATTCAGAAATGTTGCTGATGTGAACTACATTCAGAAGAGTGTAACAATGTATGTAGTGCTGCGAATAAGTACACTTTCATTTCTGAAATTTGAGTTTGACTCAAACTCAGAATGAAACAATCTTTGCTAAAGATAATGCTTCGAGATGAAATTAATTATGATAGGGTTAATCCAGTCTCAGGCTTTGTGTTAGCACATTTTTCTGTACCTGTGTCATTCTGACATTGTAGCAAAGAAAATAGTTTCTCTGCAATCATCAGATTGCACTGTCAGACCTGACAAGCTTGGTGCTCATACTGGATATATCGTTGGAAGTATTCCATTTCTTTCCTTCCAACATCATCACCATTCGAGGATATATTCACTCAAAGTGTGAAGCACTCTTCAGACAGACTGCAGTCAATGAACGAATTGAAGTTGTTCTGGCATATTTTCCCCTGACAATAGGCTACACAGAGAAGACCACACACTTTAGAGGGTTACTGCACACAAAGAACATTAACTTAAACAGGGAAATGTATGATATGGAACATACAAATCTATCGAACACAAATTTGCATCCAAAAGATATTAAGGGCACCTATGGTATACAATGAAAGATGTTTGATGAGAAAAATTACCAACATGGAGTTGTATGGTATCAAACAAAGAGTCACAAGCAAAAATATTGATTAGAAGAGATGTAGAAAATGAAATGTGTGGTGTAGACTTGAATTATTTCTTTAACACAGGAATGGTTGGAAAGAACCATTTGAGGCAATGGCAGATAGTGCAGAGCTGACACGTGTAGTGTGGAAAATTAGGTGCAATTTATGGTGATTGTGTGAATTACTGACGACTGAATTGCAACGAATGAATTAGAATTTTTATAGCATTTTTACAGCACTCCATTCCAACAATCTATCTCTGAAATTTCACAATTTGGTTTGGATACTCTTGAGCATGATGATGAGCTCCCGCATGTGTCAGACACCTGGCTGACCAAACAAAAGCTGTTTTGTTTCATTATTAAAAGTAAGATGGATTTCCCCAATGGCTTAGTAGTTACATGTGTTGGGTTGGGTGAGACATGCAGGTCAAGGTCAAGAAGGTAGCAGATTGACTCCTTTGTACAGAGTTAACTCAGCCAGGGCAGTGATGCGGTCAGGACAACTGGTTTCAATGTTCAACAGTCTTAAGAAAAGGAAAATTCAGCCAGGGTTATTGCTCCTGATTCCTATTCAGTGACCCCTGCTGGAAAGTGAGTGGATGTCAACTGAGAACAGAGTTTGGATGCAATTGCTATCCTATAGATCTACCTGAACTGTCCAGACTTGAATATAAAAAATAACCAGTTGGGCAAGATGCTAAAGAACTACAGCCCCTATCCAGGCACATCTTGGCTTTCTTCAGGAAAGGAAGGGGAAACATGGAGGGGGTAGAGAAGACAGGTTATCATTGGGCTTCCATAGACTTCGTATGGTGCAACATCAACCAATAGTTCCGGTTATACAGTCGGTTCACGCCACTGGAGACCAGAGTGAAGTGAGAGCTCTTTTGGCAACTGCATTCAGTGTTTCAGACCAGGGTTCAGAAGCAATATGGGACCAGCAATGGCAATGACCAGGGATTGGCACAAAACTTCTGGAATGTTTTTGATTCCACGCAAAATGGAGAAACAAAAACGTTCATCAATAACCACCTTTCATTTGGATGAAAAAGTAGAAGAGCTGGCTCGATATTTATCCGCGATTAAGTTTTTCCTGGCCATAAATAATTTAAATGGTGCTTCAAAACAATACACATGTCCTGGCTTGATGAAGACTGCGACAATTTGGCATTTAAAAAAAAGGGGTGGTGGGATGGGGGAGCTGGTGGTGGGGGAATCTTTAACTTGATCTGTTCATAAAAGTAATTTTTATTTGAATTGCAATCAGGATAGTGGACAACCGCACATTAATGAACTACAAGTGAAAGCACTTACAATAGTGTCTGAGACGTTGCTGTGCTGTGTGGAAAAAAAATACTTGCTAATGTGCTACCGTTTTTTTCCCACAGAGGAACGGCCCCTTTATTCGGTTACTCCTAATAATCAATGTGGAGCTTCTTTGTGGAAAGGATCAATATTAGAGTCGATGTTGCATTTAAATAAACGGGCACGTTTTGAACAAAACCTATACATTAACCGCCTCAATCATTGAGACGCCTAATGTTTTGTATGATTTGGGTTCCTTCTCTTAACACGAAAGTTTTGATAGTTTAAAGATCATTTAAAACAACACACATTGCAACTTGCCAATCCCCCGCATAAACGAGTCTGTATGGAAACTATAAACTAAAATGATTTCTGAAAGCATAAGGTTCGACATGTGTGCAGGTGCGAATACCGAATACCTGAACATTTTGGCCTGAGTTGTGCATCACTAAGTGAGATGGTTTACCATTCTTGTTTACAATTATCTAAACACCGGGTA